ACCTATATGTACATGTACATGAATATTTATTTGGCAATCGCCAATGGCAGTCAGCAGGGTTTAAGAAGATCAGTGAAAAAAAGTGACTCCTCAAAATAAATCTAGGCAATAACGTAACTCCCCATTCTTGTTTATAGTGATATATGTATACTTTGGATATTTACTGAGAATTTGTCTATGCTTGTGTGTATGTTTTTGTGTCTGGTGTTATAAGTTATAGTTCGTTTTCATACCTATGGCAGTCAGCAGGGTTTAAGAATTTGTTGTTCGACCTGTTAGTCAAATGCGTTTTGTTAAAATATACTTTTTCACTTTTTTGGTCTTTTTGGAAAATGTTGTTTGTGCTGTATTTAGACCCCTCTAACAAGAAATTTGTTTTGCATGCACACGTATAAAAATTGCGGTTTTTATCCAACGCAATCATAGGTTTGAACGTTGTTTTCAATTTAGACTTGTTTATATTTTTTCGTTTGGGCTTGTATTATATTTGCCTTCGGGTTTATATGATCCGTTCATTCTATTTTGACTCCTCAAAATTCAAGAGTCTACCTAAATTGAGGTAAATTGTATGGCTTTCCAAATACCGTTTCGATTCCTAACATCACTGAAGAGACATTAATTGTCGAAATCCGGTTATGGTGTACAAAAACCTTTGCACCTTTTGTTTGCGGTATTCCATCTTTTCCGCAAGTTTATTGTTTTCTGTTTAGTATTAACTTTATAATTAAGATCCATTTATTACATCGGTGATCCGTTTATTTGGCAATCGCCAATGGCAGTCAGCAGGGTTTAAAAACATTTGTTGTTCGACCTGCTAGTCAAATGTGTTTTGTTAAAATATACTTTTTCACTCATTTGGTCTTTTGGAAAATGTAGTTTGTGCTGTATTTAGACCCCTCTAACAAGAAATTTGTTTTGCATGCACACGTATAAAAATTGAGGTTTTTATCCAACGCAATCATAGGTTTGAACGTTGTTTTCAATTTAGACTTGTTTATATATATATATATAGATATCTGTACCATTGTAACTTATTGTTTATGAGAATAAAGATTATTATTATCATAATAATGGGTTAAGATTTTATATACTGTAACAGTTGAAATTGAAAGAGTTGGTATTACTTAGTTTCATTAAAAAGAATGGCGAACGTAGATACAAGTATCTTGTCTTGGGGAGGGATAAATCCTACTTTGTAAAGAATCACTCTGATTCAAACAAAAATTCACTGACATTATCAAGATGCTGGATTTCTTGATTGACAACATATTTGTTACGTTTGGAGGACGTGTTTTTCAACAGACTGTCGGAATTCCAATGGGAACCAATTGTGCCCCTCTTCTTGCCGACTTGTTTCTTTATTATTATGAGGCTGACTTCATACAGGAAGAAAGATAAGAAGTTAGCAATATCCTTTAACTTTACGTTCCGCTATACAGATGATGTTTTCTCACTAAATAATACAAAATTTGGTGACTATGTTGAACGAATCTATCCCATCGAACTAGAGATAAAGGATACTACAGATACAGTTAAGTCTGCCTTATATCTTGACTTACATCTAGAAATTGACAATGAGGGTCGGTTGAAAACAAAACTTTACGACAAAAGAGATTATTTTAGCTTCCCAATTGTGAACTTTCCATTTCTATGTAGCAACATTCCAGCAGCGCCTGCATACGGAGTATATATCTACCAATTGATACGATATTCCCGGGCTTGTATTTCCTATCACGATTTACTTGATAGAAGGAAGCTATTAAACCAAGAGTTCCAAATGGTGAAGTTGAAATCATCCCTTCGTAAATTTTACGGACGCCATCACGAGTTGGTTGACCGTTATGGAATAACCGTTTCACAGATGATATCGGATATGTTCCTTATGTCGTAACTACAATACCCTTCCCTTTTCACGAATGTGACCTACCGAATTAGACTATTTACCGGATTTGTGATAACATAAGCAACATGACGGGTGCCACATGTGGAGCAGGATCTGCTTACCCTTCCGGAGCACCTGAGATCACCCCCAGTTTTTGGTGGGGTTCGTGTTGCTTAGGCTTTAGTTTTCTATGTTGTGTCATCTGTACTATTATTTGTCTGTTTGTCTTTTTATTTTGGCCATGGCGTTGTCAGTTTGTTTTCGATCTATGAGTTTGAATGTCCTTCTGGTATCTTTCGTCCCTCTCTTTTGAAATTGGTATGAGGTCGTCATTTGGCAAAACTTTGTTTTTTTTACATTCTGGAAGAACCACGATTTAAACATTTTGATTTTGTTGATGAAATTTCTAGTTATTCATTTATAGCTTAGCGGTTAGATCATAGCCGTAAAAATAATTACTATTGAAAATTATTTTGTTAGATAATGACCAGTCTTCTTGTTTCGTTGAGTTTGTTAGCAGTCTTGTCTAACCAAAACTATTGGATTTGATATAAAACTTTTTATATATATCTAAAGTTTAGTATTTAACATTTGATTTTTTTACGGATTACTATACACAATGTCTTCTCGGATTAAAGGAAGTCATCAAGCTGATATTCTCCATATTCAATTGCAAGCAACAGACAAGAAAGTGACTGTTCGTCTTGGTCAGTTAAAAAAATCAGGAAGAACTTGCAAATATTGGAATTAAAATTTAATTCAAAATTAAGAAAAACAGTTTATTTGGATAATCTCAAATCAGTTTCCGAACCTGATGAATTGTCGAATGAGGACCAGGAAGGCTCGCCAAATTTACAAACTGTGACCAGTCATTCGCCTAATGAACTTTCACATCTTATAGCAGTGGTCTAGAAATTAATTTGCCAGGAAAAAAGGATATCCGGCTTCATAGATCGCTGACTATTAAAGTTTTCGTATGCGCTTTTGGCAAATATAAGCGCGTCATTTGTAGGGTTTTTCCTCAACGCAGTGAGGAATTAGATTTGTTACATAGCTAACATTTTACAGATTGAATCTAGTTATGGTGAGAAACCTTATGAATACCATAAGATTTTTGCCGCCAAATTTTCAATTGCACTTCGTGATTTTAAAGTTAAATTTGACAGAGGAGTGAAAGACAATGACATTCTTACGCTTTTAGATCCGCAGATAAGGCCAGAAGTTTGTAGACTTTGTTACGCTATCGATCACGGAACACATTGTTTGCCCTCTTTCTTTTCAGTCAGAAAATCGAGGAATAGATCATCTTCCGATCGCGTTGATAGGAAGGGCAAAACACGAGTCTTGCACGACGGGAAAGAGATCTGCAATAACTATAACACCACAGGGGGTTGCGACAGACCGGGTTGTCCATTGTCATATATTTTCAGTTCTTGTTTCGCTTTTCATTCAGCCTGCAACTGCAACAAAGTACAAGTTGATACTAAAAAAAACCAACGCATTTTTGCGCTTGTCCCAAGTCAGAAACCTCTGGCCTTTGTTAGTCTTGTATGTTTTTTTTTAATTTTGGTTCATTTATATGTTTCGGTGTTTAGTGTGACGTCCATTAGCTGAACTAGTATACATTATTGTTTAGGGGCCAGCTGTAGCCCAACTCCGGATGCCGGATTCTCTCGCTGTGTTGAAGACCCATGGTGGTCTTGGGCTGTTTTCTACTCTTTGGTCAGGTTGATGTCTCTTTGACGCATTCCCCGTTTCCATTCTCAATTTTGAATCTTCTAGATGATCGACAACAATCAACGAAGATAAAAAATGACTAGTGACAATTCCCCGACCAATGTTAACTTGTTACGTGAATTATTGCAAACACATCCGCATATAAATTTTGTTAATTATCTTTGTAATGGGATAAATGAGGGGTTTGACACAATGATTGAATGTACTGATATGCCGACACTTGAATGTAAGAATACATTTTCAGCTCGCTCTCAACCTGTCTTTGTACGGCAGCTTATTGACAAAGAATGTGAAAAAGGTTTCTTGTTATGTCCGTATAAAATTCCACCATTTAACTATTATCGATTCAGCCCTTTAGGACTTGCTGTGGGGAAGTACTTCGGGAAAAAGTGGCTTATATATTGGATTTTGTCAGCCCCACATGACGATGATAATTGTAGTATTAATTACTTGATCAGTAAAGAAGATTGTTCATTGGAATAGATGACGTGATCAAAGTTATACGAAAATTATGTCCTTTTTCATTGTGCACAAAGTTTGATATAGAGTTCGCATTCAAACAATTAGGTGTTAGAAAGGACCAGTGGCTTTTATTTTGCATTAGATGGTGTAAAGAATACTATTTTCTAAATAGATAGCGTTCAGTTGTAGAAGCTAGCCACTTATTTTTGATAACTTGTCTAGCCCGATTTTTTGGATTACTACTAATATCTACAAAATTGAATATATTTCACCTTTTAGACGATTTTTTTACTATAGGTATACCCAATTCTTGCGCAGAGAGAACAACGGCATTAATTACTACTCTTTTTAAAAGACTTACTATTCCACTTACTAAACACAAGGCTGTTGGCCCTTGTACAGTTATTGAACATTTGTGTATTATACTTGATATACGGAAAAGATGAAGACCCGCTTGCTTGCCTTTAGATAAAACAAGTCGCATCAGTGAATTTACCAAGAAGTTTTAAACGAACAATCTTGTACCAAACGTGAATTTTTATTATAATTGTTAGGGCATTTCAATTTCACCATGCGGGTTATAATTCCGAGTTGTTCATTGAAGATTTCCAGTTATTTCAAAATCGAAATAAATATATTTTACTACTGTTTCGTAAGGTAAATATGTGAAGTTTACATCTCCATTTCTCGCGTATCAACAGAAACCGAAATCTACTTCACAAGTTTTAGCTCCATAAAATATAATTGGCCTACTTCCTTTGATGGTATTCCTCATTACATAAAATGTGCCATAATCAGAATACAGGGTTGTATCTTCGATTGCAATTTGCAAGCGTCCATAAACTATACATGTCACATTACACAAAGAGTATCTGTATTAATAATGCTGAATGAACAAATCGTAACATAATTTATTCTATTTAAATCATTCATAGTGTGGGACATCAAATAAATAAGTTATATTTCATGATATAAAATAATCAGAGAAATCAATCACAACATGACACAGATGGACCTTGATGGACATTGATGGACGTAGTTTTACCTGTGGATCATGATTTATTCACTTGACTTTTGGATGACATCTATGTATTGATACCTGTAAAAAGGTCAATTAATTATGTTACTATTTCCTTTTCACTTTTCGGACTATTGTTTTATATTTAAGCATTTAAGTAAATTTTCATATGTTTATGGTTAAAAAGTTACTTTATAACTTTGATAAAATAATATTTTACTAGACTGTTCGATTTCAAAGCATGCAAGATAAATTCTGATTCGATTTGATTTAAAAACTAATGTTATAAATTATGTTCAATGTATCGCAAGAAATTTAATTGATGAAAGCCAACAGTTTGCCCTCTATAATGAACAAAAACAACTTTTATTTATGTTAAAACATTTTTGACCCATATGAATCATAAACCTTTCAGTGGTATTTATCAGAATAAGGATACTATAGTTTCTATTTTGTAGAAAAAAAATATATAAAATACAGTCTGCCATATGCATATTGATATATGTTAACAACAACCGCAATGAGCAAACTTGGTTTACCATACTTACTTCGTCAATACAACCAATGAAATTATCATATCCTTTACCCCACCCTATCTTCATGCCGCATTCTGATCTAGCAATTGCTCCTGTGAATGAGATATATAAAAAAAAAATTAAAAAATCCTTTTCTAAAGACATTCATTAGAAAATCCAATTTAATAGTTTTGCAGCGTTCAAATTATTAAACTTATAATTTCCTTTGATAGAAAATATTACAATGTAAAACACTGAATTGCATTATATCCTAATATAAATCAAAGAGGGAACACATTTGGATGCTCTTTTGAAGGCTTACCATTCAATGGAGCCATATTTGTGTGGTCATTTGTTTGTAGAATTAACTCCCCTCTCTCAAACTTCAGCCAAACATCTCGCCAGTCTGTAAGTGGTCTCTAAAATGAAATAATAATAAAAGTTTTAAATAAACAGAATATAAAATATATATAGATACTGAAAAACTAGTAGTCCTGCTAAATCCTTCAAATATAAACCTAGTGAGAAAAAAACAGGTTCCTTTATGAACCAGCTTTTAGAATTGAGGACATGGGACTCTTAGTTACTTTTGCTTGTATATGTAATATATATATATTCAAATCAGTTTATTTTTTGTTGTTGTTATTATTTGTTTTTGTCACAAGTATCATGTTTTTACTTATATAACAAAAAAGAATTATCATATATGCATATATATATTCTGTTCTGCATTATACAATGGACCAATTGATACTGTATGAGCCCAATTTGTTTAATCTTACATTAAATCTTAAGATTGTACTATATTAACATTGAAATTGATTTTGCAATTTGACGGGCATAAATCTTTGAATGCCGAAACATGAAAAACGTGACTGTCTGTGCTTAATAGCCCTGTTGATAGAGACAAAATTCTGGATGTCAAAATGGAAATTAGCTTTATTAACTTACAATTATACATGTATACAGCAAAGTTTACGAAAGGTGGACATGTTTGTCATGTCGCAGTGGAAGGGACTTTTTCTGTATTTACTAAAAACTATATGCATCGGAACACCGGAAGTACTCAAGGAAATACATCATCGATATGTAACTTGGCATTATATAACTATGACAAGACATTTCGCTCTATTCTACAGGCATAGAACAAACAAAATCAAATAAAATTGAGAATGGAAATGGGGAATGTGTCAAAGAGATCCGATCAAATAGCAGAAAACAGCCGAAGGCCAGCAATGGCTCTTCAATACAGCGAGAAAATCCCACACCCGGAGGCGGGCTTCAGCTGACCTGTATAGTTTACATGAAAAAAGTTAAAATGAAAAAAGAGGCGGAAGATACCAAAGGGAGATCAAAGTTCACAAGTCAAAGAGATACTGTCAAAATCCTGACAAAAAACGAAAAACCACGAAAATACCAACAATAGTCAACAAAACACTACATTCAAAACGAACCCCAACACAAACCGGGTTGATATTATGTGCTCCGGAAGGGTTTACTACATCAAATGAAAAATTACAGGCGAGAATTCAGTTAAAAGCAGGTAAACCCTTATGTAAACGCAAATCGGTCTATAATAACTCAACATCATACACTAATGGGTAAAAAAGCATAACCAAAAAATCAGGACAACTGTTGGATTTCTGATTAACGACAAAAAGACGGACAAGGTTAATACTACTAAGCGGAGGAATAGAAATTGATGGTGCTACTTTTTAGGCAAACTCAATTATATATGCACAAATGAATTATCCATGACCTTTTGCCTATATTTTTTAGACTAAATCTTAATATAATATAAGAAATGTGATATGATTGACAATGAGACAATTATCGAGTCCAAAAGACAAGGATTTTCCTTTTAAGACGCTAAATTTTTCAAAGATGTTCAAAATTGTTTTGTTTGCATCATTGTCGTAATTCCCACAAATATATAACAAAGGTTTGGACTTATCTCATTGAACTATTATAAAAATTCAGCTTTAGAAAAAAAGTTTGGTCAGTATCGGGTTTGATTTAAGCGTTAGAATTCAAATTTGTATCTATTTTTACGCAGGTGTAGGAAAATTCTAAGTTGTGACTTTTAATCACAATCAGAACATATTTTAAAAGTTTTGATATTTCTCCTGAGACTATGTGTAAAATGGAAATTTCTATTCATATTTAGATAAAGCTGTCTTACCAAATAAGATATTTGCTACAATATGTCATACATGTAACGAAATAAAATCGAGTTTTGGAATAACTACACAGATACATTTGATATAGTTACGGTAACCGAAACACATCTAGATCAAAGTATAGGTAATACAGATTTAGAACTTGAAACATTCTGCCAAAACATAATTCGTAAAGATCGAAATAAATTTGTCGGTGTTATGCAACTGATTTATTGTTTTAGTGATAACGTTTATGACGAAGAGACATGTCATCTGTTTAACCAATATTTTTGTCTGATTTACAAATTAAAAGAGTTGTGTCCTCTCCCCGTTTCCCCTCTAAGACTGAAAATGAAATATACGATATTCCTATGGAATTGATTGAAATTGTTAATGTAATTTAAAAACTCCAGACCATCAAAACCTAAGTTATAGATATGATGAGACACAAGATGCTCCAAATTTGTCCTGTAAAATAGCTGTTAACATTAATTTTTGATAAATCACTTGAACACTGTAAACTTCCCTCTAACCCTCGGGATATTTCAAATGTTTTTGCAATTTTTAAAAAGGGTGATTCAGCATTAACTTCAAATTACCCAACGATTTCTCTTATACGTTGTGTTCGTAAAGTAATGAAAAGCTTGTCGTCATGATAAACTGAAACTCATTTTCTTTTATTATGACTAGGGTAAACTTGACTAAATGCGAAGTAAATTGCTAATGTCTTTTAATCTAAATAAAACTGAGATCATGCAAGTCTCGAAGTCTATTATTCCAGATCTAAACTTTGTTTTAAATGGTCAGGACATTGTTATGTGTCATATACATTGGTACAATAGCGCTAAAGGGAACACAGATATTGATAGCATTATATGTAGTGATATTACGTACATACACGTTTTAAAAGACAAAAACACAAATGTTAAAGACCGGTATGTTAAAGGGCAGTGAGGAAATAAATATTCTAACGTCTTTACCGGCGAATCAGGAACCGGTATCAAGGACATCTGAAGTTTATAAACTAGACCAATGTAGTAGTAATTTGCATGTTCAAAGGTATTTTAAGGTCTCCATATTATTGACCCAAATCAGAAATAAAATTTGTACTTCATATAGATAGTCATTATAGAAACAAGGCTTATAATTAATGACGCTATACGCCCGTTTCATCTACAGAATACTCGTTAGTGGCGCGTCTGTACACTAGGGTTAATATATATGATGTGCTATGCATAACATATTATTTCCAATATATCATCGAGAATAACCATACATTAAAGGAACAGAGACTGCTTTGTTAGTCTCTAAGTTGGTCTTGAAACATTTGAAAAAACAAATGAAGAAAGAAATGATTTATGTAAAGTAGTGTATTTATATATAATATTTAGTACAGATATCAAAAATACACATTAAATACCATTTGCTTAAGGGATTTGGAACAAAAATATGAGATCGAATCGGTTTACGAGAATATATTTTAGTTCCTTTGATTATAAAGCATACATGTTTAAAACTATAACATTATTTTCTTCAAGTGTAAACCAATTATGTCTGCATTCGACAAACATATATATACAGGCGTGATTTTGAACGTGTATCCTTAATGAATTAATTGAAGGCCCAAGACATATTTCAACCTTTGATGTAAACTCTTGTTAGTTTTATTTCATTTAGAGTGTCACATCTGACAATTATTCTCCAAATATTAAAATGAAACGCGTGACACTCACTGATTTATTCATGTCAAAGTTTACATGTATTTAAATCGGAGAAAAATTACTTTGGCTTCTTCATAAGTCCATGTATTCATATGTCGATAGTAAAGAGACTTTGCAATTTTATTTTTTCATTTTATAGCTGAATAGACGTTTCAAAGCAGTTTTACTCGACTAGGTTCTGATAAAATGTCGTTTGTGCAAATATCAAACAACTTAGCAAACAAATAAATTGTAGTTCTATATTATCTATACTATAGGTCTAAGTGAAGAACTAAATCTATAATGTTCGTAAAATCTTAACCGATTTTTTTTCAAATTTCTCACGGATATGGGTTTAATGAGTCGATTTTAAGACGAAAACATTCCAGTTTACTATCTATTATTATCCTTATTGACGAATTGAAGTGTACGGTTTTGTATTTACAATTCGAAGTCGAAACACAAAACTTAAAAGAAAATGTGTGTTTCCGCCAATTTCAACTAACGACAAAAGTTTCAATACAATTCCAATCAAAAAAGTGTAAAAAAGATACAAAGGGGTAACAAACAAAAAAAAGACAGACGATAAAAAGGCCACAATACACTTCACAAGAAACCAGAGGTTGAACAAAAAGAACGCAAACAAAATCCGGGACGAACCTAGGTGCTCCGGAAGAATAGGCAGTTCCTCAACTAGTGAAACTTTTCGCGTTGCACACTCCAAATAAAAATCCATTTATCAGTCGCATTCTGTGATGTTATAAATGATTTAAGGACGGGATGTTGACTACAAGATGTATAACATATCAACGTCCAATTTACAACTATCATTTCTGTTCTGTCCATAATAAGTTTAAACCAATCAAAACATTGTTCTCTAAACAAACTTAAAAAAAGGTCTATATCTAACTACTCAATATCTGGCTGGAACGTGGTAATCTGGTGATGATTTCAGGACAAATCGACTTTATCTAATATCATGAAAATAAAAATCAGAGCATGAAAAAATAAAATGGATAAAACCTGGATATATGTCGTTATTCGTAGAAGTATACAAACATCATGAATTGTTTTACATTTGTCATTTCGGGGCCTTTTATAGCTTACTATGCGGTATGGGTTGTGCTCATTTGCTCATTGTTGAAGGCCGTACAATGACCTATAGTTGTTAACTTCTATGTCATTTGGTGTCTGCTGGAGAGTTGTTTCATTGGTAATCATACCACATCTTCTTATTTTATATATACGTATATGCTGATTGCTAGTTATTATAATTAGATTTTAGGACATTACATCGGCTATCTTATATTCGACACCACAGTTTCAAAATGTTTTTAGTTTAAGTACACCTGAACAGCGCCAGTTTCATATTATATTTCCTTTTTGACAGTAATGTCTCTTGGTTTATTTATTAAAAACAATCTACTGGTTTACCATTTTATCATGGTCATAAATTTATACAAGTAGGTCGCAAGCTTAATTTATTATTTCATCACAAGAATATAAATAACAGTAATAATAGCGTTTCCCTAAGCCTGAATCTTTTTACTAAGCTCCGTATAACGTTCGTGTGACCCCAGCAAGATTTTCTATGCCGACATCTAGTTTTATATGGAGGACTTTGTCATAATGTTTGACCTGACATTATCTTCCAAGAAACCTTCCAAAACATTAATATAGCTATATATCTGAACAAGAAAAAGAGCCGTAACAATAATTTTGATCAACAACAAAAAAACTCTTTTATAACAGATTATCAAATTTAAGCATAATAATTTTAAGACTGATTTGCAGTATTGACCCTTCCTATCCCGTTTGCTGTAATCGTGTGAAAAACGAAGAAAACGTTAATTCGTGACTTTTACCTGGTATTCTACTTTATTTGATGACTCAGGTTATTTATTTTTTGTTTGGTTAAAATTATTTTTGAAATATTACAGCACGTAAAAGCCGCAAAAATATATACGATTTTCAAATTATTACTCACTTTTTTAACAAAATTTCTTATGTCATTACACATTTACAGTAACATGAAAACAATTATTAACAATGCAATTACATATTTTCTTAACAAAGGACAAGAACCACCAATGAAATACTTTGTTGCATAGTGGCATTTTAAGGTCGCCTCTCAATGGTTAAAGCTAACTGCTTCGTTAACATCGATATCTTACATATCTCCAACAAAGTAAAAAAAGCGCCTACATCATATGACAATCTCTACAATTTCAATCGTCTAGACCAGTTTTGTGATTCAAAATGAGTTCCCAAAAATTTTAATTATTGTAATAAAAAATGTGAAATTTCCTAAGAAGCATTGAAAACATTAAGTCGAAGAAAAACAGACAAATCCATAATACAAAAAAAAAACACCGAACATAATTGTAGGTAACAAAACACGTTTGGTGATAAGCAAGGTAAATATGGTAAAGACGACGGGATTGTGCATGCGATATGTGGAAAATATCCGTGGTCATCTGTGACAGTATTTATTCCATAACGTTCATCAAAATAAATATGGCGTTCGAAAATCTTTCACAAAGATGACTTCAACTTAACCATTTAGAACCCTGGATACAATGTGATCTTTGTAAGCAGCAACCCCTTATCACTCGTGATATTCAAGTACAGACCCTGAAATATCGTATCATCTAGGGGACAGATACGCCAGATACAGGTGCTGCTGGAAAGTTGCCACGCCGAAATGAAAAGTGGGAAGATTTGTCATAAAATTCATTTCTCATCCGGCCTTCATTATCATCTTCTAGTCAAGATTTGAGAAGCCATAATTGTTTTCTAGTATCCTTCATTTCAAGTTCAATAAGATACAGGCTGTATATTTTATTCTTCTGTATTTTGTAAGTTTAATATTATATGTATTGGTTCTTTTATCACTCCTCTGATTTAGATAAATGTGGAAGGTGGAGTAGGTTCAACACTAATTTTACAAAGTTACGTCATTGCCACATTATCGCTTTCTATATGTTTTCAATAACAATGGTTCGCTAAGTTTATGTGCGGCTATAGATTGGAAATTACCAATAATGCTAATGACATTGTTTATCAACATTTTAATCAGTCTTATATTGCCCGTCACAGACTTTCGGATCGGTTGGTATTTGAAAAGATATAAGAGAAAAACAAGCATTTTAGTACCTCCTCTGCGATGCCATCAATTGAGACAAATTCAATAATTCATACAGTTCAAAAGGAAATACCGCTCTATGTTAAAAATCAGTCTGTTCAATTATCTCATACCTAAGCCACACCTATTGCGACTAAAATTTCAACCGCAAACAAGTGCAGGATCTCAATAGTGACACATTCAAGTCGAAACATCCTGATTGCACTTTTGGTAATTCCCCATTCATATGTAATCTGGCTTATTACTGTATTACTATTGATATGAACATTGTCAACAACACTTCTCTGCGAGATACAACATTTATTTAACTCATTGTTACGTTCAAAGGGCGTTTTATCTAACAGCGAAACGGTATTACAATGGGAACTAACTGTACTCCTGTTCTCGTCGACTTGTTTCCTTATTAATATAATGCAGACTATACACAGGAGCTTCTCATTTCAGAAAGAATGAAAAGAAGCTAGAACAACCCTTTAACCTCACGTTCCACTATACAGATGCTGTCCTCTTAATACATGAATAAAAGATTGGTGACTATGTTTAACGCACCTATCTCACCGAAGTAGAAATAAAGTATACCCAAATGAGGGTCGGTTGAGAACTTAACCACATGAAAAAATAGGTGAATAAAGCTTTCCTGTTCTGAACTTTCCATTTCTATGATAGACCATGCAAGCAGCGCCTGCACATGTAGTATATATCCCCAAGTTGATACTATAATTTAGAGCTTACATTTCCTATCATGATTTCTTTGATAAAGGGTTGCAGCTTACAAGGAAAATATTTGACAAAAGCTTCCTAGTGGTAAAGTTGAAGTCATCCTTTGAAAGTTTTACGAACGCCATCATGACGTTTGTTTTTCGACTGGTGAGATTTTAGTGTCCCATTTGTATCTTCAGCTACATTGTTATGATATAATTATTACTTTAAGTATTTCATAAATATGCATATATTAATTATACTCAATTTCTGTTAAATTGCAAATTTCAACAACAAAAAATATCGCTGATTGCAACTACATTTGTACGTGTAAACGATTGTATTTTAATCAATATCAAGATGTTTAGTGGATTTATTCTAGGAAATCAAAACCCGTATAAACCTGTTGATTTCAGACAGATGTAAATTATCAAAAAATAAATAAATCATTTTGTAAAACAAGTGTGTACTTTTAATATGGAAAAGTATATATATTTAGACATACGTAGTTTACCGATGTTCAACTCTCATAACTCGATTACGAAGATACAAATCAAGGTAATAAATAAAAATAAGGAAGAGCACGATTTCTTAAAATGAACTATTTACATTTCTTTGTTAAGCATTGTAATGATAACAAAATGCAATAATGATGTCATACACTTAAACATGTTAAATGTACATTATAAAATCAGACCTGTATAAGTACATATGTGTTTACATTACCTTTGATGAAACCCACATTTTCTTTTCTTCATTTAAATTTGTAAGCAGAGAAAGGTGGTTCCCGGACATTTTCGTTCCTATAATTAATGTTGGACTTTTGTTACAATCTCCATTGAAGATAAGGGACTGTAGATTAGTTGTTACGTCCCGATGTTTGTAGCGTACATGTACGTGAAATGTACCACCATAGTCCATGTTGGCAAAAGCCGGAATAGCAATAGCACTTTTTCCATCAAAACAGGCAGCTCCAGAAGTTAAGCTAGCATTATCAACACGTACATACACATTATTTCCTGAATGATCTGAGAAATCATTGGTAAAAGGGAGGTAAATCTCAGGAACACACGCTACAAAGTCATATAAAAATCATAATGAAAAAACAAACACACAAACGAGAAATTCATGATCAATGTCAACGTCCTTTGATGGTGTTTAGCCTAAATCCCTATGATGTATACTAATATATATATATATATATAGTCGGAAAACAATATCTTTAATCTCGAACAGATGAAACCAAAATATATATGTTGTACAAACCATTCGGAATTTTGGGTTCTCAATCTCTTCAACTTCATACATGATTTTGCCTTGAAACTTTTTTGATTCGAGCGTTACTGATTAGTGGTCAATAGACAAAACGCGCGTTTGGCGTACCGAATTATTAAAGTTTATTTTTATTTGTTTTTAACAATTATTTCCATTATGCTGCCATTTATAGAAATGACCGGATGTAAAAATTAAGGTCATTATGACAGTAAATGCTTTAAAATATTATAGCTTATAACGCTTTTGTTTTGTTTTAAATTGACGCAAGTAACTTGTTTTGTGTAGAAAAAAGATATATATTTTTATGACATTCGTCAACGAAAATCTTTATACTAAAATGTAAAACAAAATAACATTAGAAACATTGGAAGTATTACAGAATTTCTCGTCAAATCATATCAAAGCATAGTCTCAAATAGATCAACTTACTGTGGTCTTCAAATGTATAACTAGAAGGGACTAATTCGGATATTTTTGCACATTCGCATAATTCAATCTGGTATGTCCATCTAGGTGGACATTTTTCTTTGATCCATTTTGACCCATCTCTGCGTTCATAGATACTTCTCTTCCCCAGAACTGGCCGTTTGTCACATATACCTTAAATAATAGGAAATAAAATAGTTTTAAACTTTAAGTACATTTGTATTTAAATAGATTCGTTGAAAAATGTTCCATTTACCAAGAATACCTGTTTTAGAAATACATATATGCTTTCAGCATATTTTTTCAAAGCTGACTTTCGCCGATATTAGATGTTCCTTTTTTATTTAGTTTTCACAATTTAAGAACATTCGGCACAATGGCTAAGAAAGGTAATGCCAGTACCAAAGATACTTTACATACGTCGACTTTACAATGCCAAGGCAAGATTCTTGTTTTTAAATGTTTCAACAACTAACAAATGAACGTCCATAATTTCGCTTGCACGTCAGATATGAACAAACCAATGAATGCTGTACCAAATATTTTAACAAAATGTCAACAGTATTTTTTCAAAATTTATATCGTTCATTCATAAATATAAACTGCTCAATTCATTTCTGTTTGTGTATTTTTTTTTATCGTTTCCATATTTGAAGAGGAACCATGATGAGGAGTATTTATAACTCTGTGTATTTTGTTTTATTTGTGCGGTAACTTCCAGGTTTGCGGTGTACGTTTTTGTACCTGCCGATAAAACTTTTAAATGGCTTGCTCCATTGTATGTACGTTTGATTATAGAATAAAAAATAAGATTACGTTATATTCATTTTGAATTAAGTATCAAACTGTAATGACTTTTTTTTACCTAAGTTTTATTTATATATGCATAAATCAGTTGAAAAACATTTTGACGAATAATCTTTCGTCGATACCCATACCTCCCCATTCGATAAGAAGACTTTTATGATCTACACTACAAGCAACATCTGGAATTTCACACGTAGAATCCTCGATACAGCCACGCCCATCAAGATATGAATGTCCCCAAGGACAACACCGTGGTTCAGAGACTCCACCTTGACACTCCCAGTACGACCTACATGTTCTTTTGCTTGCATATTGATACTTGTCAGCCTGGGATTTACAAACCTCTGAAAATAGTAAAAAAACAAATAAAATAGCAATCATTTGATTTTTAAAAAAGACGAGGGAGTCAAGTTTCTGATTTAAGACTAAGTAACTGGACACTTTTTAGACTTGCTTTTTGAACTAGGTTAGATTCATCCTAATACCGTATATCGGGTTTTTTTTTCGCGTCGGCTTTTTGTCGCGATTTGATGGCAAAATGGACAATTAAATTTTCACTGTGTATAATTTTCGCTGAATGGGAAAATACACGCGAAAAAAAATAACTGTATCGTATTGTTAAAGTTGTAAAAATGATAAACTTGTTTAAGTGACAGGAATTCGAGTACAAATAAATTTGAGAACTACAAACAAAAATACACATAATTCAGAGAACTTTCAAGGCATGTAAATTATGTACATTGGAGCATGCTAAAAATTGAAGGTTTTGATTAGTACAGATATACAAATATCCGTGTAAATGTGAATTATTTTTATTTGATTTTTACATTACATGCAAAATGTTCGGATTATGACACCAATCAATATATTTTCGCTAATTAACATTAATCGTTTAAACATGTCGCTGATTGCTGTGATGTCATAAGGTGTGATAAGCCAATTTAATTATTATGAATACAGAGATTCTAATTAAGTAAATTTATTCTTGTGATCTGTCAAATATTACAAAAAAACTTGATAATTAACAGAATAATGTATGAAACTTTCAAACAACGATAAATCTTGCAATTTGCATAACCCGAATAATTCAGTCGTTATATTCCGCTGATCTACGAAGGCTACATTAACGCCTGAACGTCTTCCTCGATAAAGACCGTCAACCGGAAAATTCACACCGCTATGCAATATGGGAATTTTTATTTAAGTTGGCAGCTAAAGAAGGAGGAGTTCCGGATGTTAATTGATGTTAAATGATGTAAACTGATGTTAATTGATGTTAATTAATTATTATCGGATTTGTGTTAATTCAACACACGTGTTTGGTAAGACAATTACAAGACAGTTGCGCAGACTCATTATCCTGATCGCCGCCGATTGGCTCTCTCTCACAAAGAGCAGGCGACGTGGCCAATGATCATAAGGAGTTCAAGCCCTCGTGTGGGAGAAAATCGGACACAGAAAGGGCTTGAATTATTCGAGTTACAATTTGCAGGGAAATTTACGCTGTGTCAAATTTTCGCGTTTCTTTAACAGCCGCGAACAAAGCGAAAATTTAACACACGCGAATAAACCCTATATACGGTATTTTATTTTTATTTTGACGTACGATATATTGCATTTGTTCTTTTAAATTGTTTTAACTGATATCATTTGGTTCCATTGTAGTATAGATATAGAAAGATATAAAGAAAATACCGTTAAGTACAATTAATATATCGATCAGCAGGACATTAAGCAGAAACTGGAAGCGCACAAAATTAAAAAGACCGTTACTATAGTTACCGGTATGTGTCTTTCATTATTCTTGCGGTACAGATAAAAATAGAGAAGGTAATATATGTGTATATAATGACCTAAACGATACCAGTTTTACTGCACCAAATGCGCATTTCGACAATTAATGTCTCTTTGGTGATGTTCAAGTTACTATTTGCTTACTATAACATTGATATATCTAACTTTGAAGATTGATATATTCAACTCGAAAAACTTACCATGTGGACAGTATACGTCTTTCGTTAGTTTACATGTTAGTGCTGACTGACTCCAGAACAAACCATACGGACAAAGCTGGGTAACAGGCTTTAAGATGCCTACATCTGTTGGGTAGCAGACAACGAATCGGTCACATGATGTGGGATGATTAGTGTATCCAACACCTCCATCCATTTTACAACCTAAACAAATATCTGGAACAAACAAGATCATTTTGTTTTGTCGTAAGGTTAAGTGCAATGAATATACTTATGTAATCGCAAAACATGCATTAGAACTCGATGAAAACATCTATAATATCTGCATCTTTGGTTAAAAAATAACCAATAAGAATATGAAGTAATAAAAGGCACTTTTAAAATTCAAAGATGCAGATATCATAGATAACATATATATAGCTTTAGGTAAAAAAAAATGAATATTAAATACCGACTTTACTGCTACTACTATCGGAGTGTTAAACGAACTTGACTACCCATGAGGATATCGCACAGTCGGTTGAGTTATGAATTCCCACAATTACTGTCAGCAAAGTACTTAAGGGGCATTAGCAGTCATGTTCACTGGTTTGACCTTAATTATCATATTTTATTTATAAAATACTAAATCGTAGCTTATTTTGACGAAATTGAATCAAACTGACAGCTATCATATATCATATATTATTTTGATATTCCGCTTATAAAAATGTTTGTAACAAAAAAAAATCATGTTTTAATTTTTGTCTGTTCTGAAACCATGCCGTTCTGAACTGTATGTAAGCAGCTTTACTTCAGAGTATACCAAACAGCAATATCACGAATAGAGTGGGACACACCATTTTTGCAATGCAAAATGTAAATTTGTTATACTTTTTTGCACATAATTTAAAAAACAAATAGCAACAAAAGTAACGTTTTAAAACAAGAAATGCTAGTTTATGATTCTAAAATATAAATGCATCAAGTAGATTTTGTCATCTTAAAGTCTTAAGTTTAATACCCGTAAGAGAATCAAATCAATCGTTTATTCAAATGTACATATCCAGTTTCTATTTAATCATAACATCTGATCATATGCGAGAAATAAAAATATCTTTATAACATTTTTAAAATGATAAAGATTTTAAATTCAGTGATAAATTTGCATGGTAAAATATCGTTAAAATAGCTCAAATTTTATGAGTTGATGTACATAAAGCCTAATCGTTGAGGTGTGGTTAGATACGTGTACTATAAGACTTACCAGTTGGCAATGGCTCAGAAAACACAAAAGTCTGTGAATTTTTCTTTTTTAACTCCAAACGAACTTTTTGGAGAGAAACTGGGATTTTTGGTTTCGGAGGAATAAATTCTGGTAAAACTTGATGAAAAAGAGTTTTTTCCGGAATTTTGTTCGTATGTGAAAGTATTACGGTTTTTTCCTGAATAGAACTTCCATTATTTTGATCAACGTTCGAATCAATCGTATTTCCTTTGTTTTTGACCTTTACAAATTCTGCAAGCTTTGTAAGTACCATTCCATTTGTAATGACAGCTCCATCTTTATTTAACTCGTTAATTCCAGGGACCGTCCAGTCTGTATTTATATTATTCGGTCTATCTCCAGGAAAAGCCCAATCGGTATTTATGTTATTTATTTCATTTCTAATTGCAACAGGTAAAAACGTACTAGAAATCACATTATCATTAAAATCGTTATTAATAAATGGAATTTGGCTTGTTAATCCTTCTCTCAGAACTTCCCCAATATTAACAGTACCTAAGTGTGTGATATCTAAACCATTTTGACGATTCCCATTCAATACAAGAGCAGAGTCTAACCCAAAAGACGAAGCTCCATTTCCATTTGTATTAAGTGTAGGAAAGAAAATTTCACTATTAGGTCCAAGTAATCTTGATAAACCTCCATTTATTGCAGTTTTAATACCTGCAGTTTTTAACAAATTTTCTCTTATTCCATCGAGTTTAGTAGAAAATGGAATGCCATCTCTTCCAGATGCTGCTTTTTCATGATTTGTATTTTGAATAACAATGTCTTGACCAACAATTAATCCACCAGGTTCAAATGAAGACAAATGCTCATTATTCTTTACAGTCGTATCTTTCAATAATACAGCATCGTTTTTCAAACCATTTAACAAATTACCCCCCACGGGAACATCTACATTTTTCAAGTCATTTATTTTCAAAATGTTAGTTTGTCCAGTTTTTTCTATTGTTGACAATGAATTTATACCATTGATTGTATTTGAACCTTTGATTCCGGAACCGACATCAGAATTAATACCATCTATGTTGTTATTAGCAATGTTTATACCACCAAAGTTTGAACCAGTAAGGATACCAGTACCTGTCACAACATTGGGCAATACAGCGTCAGCAGGTGGTAAACTTCTGCCATTTAAGGTTTCAGGTGATCCAACATTAAAATTAGGCGGAGATTTAATGTCAATTTCAGAAATAACATCCCGGTTTATGCTACTATCGACCATAGTAGAAGTACTGTCAAATATGTTAGTACTTTCAGAACGACTGCTTTCGAGAACATGGGAAGAAGGAAAAGCACCTCCAGTCAAAATGTCATTTTCTATTTTTATTTCACCTATAACTCCATTTGCCAAGATATCATTAACAGTATTCGCATTTATGTTAAGGCTATTTATGCTGTCCGTATCGGTTCTCGGTACAAATGTAGGCACACCCTGAACATTCATAACCACACTACCCGGTTTTGAATTGGTGTTTGATTGTAAATCGGATTTTGGTCGGTCACTGATGATCTGCATATGCTGCTCGTTTGCATTTAAATTGAAAGCAGTTTCAAATGGTATCGTACTGTGTAAAGTACGTTGAACATTCCGTAAAAAATCTGTATTCCTGTGAAATGTCCCTGATAATCTATCTTCGATGCTGTTGTGAACAAAATCTAAATGTTGATAGTGTAGGTTTGCAGAATTATCAATACTTGCTATAGGCAGAAAAGGTTCTTTAAATGTCGATGACTTTTGACGACGATTGAATAAATTATTACCAACGTTTCTCAACTTGTTTCTACGTATTGTCTTCAATTCTTTTCTTTTTTTCTTCACAATAGCTTTCCTTGAAAATACCTTTAATCTTTGTTGAGAGTTTGTTTTTGTCCCCAGCTTGATAAAGTTTCTCCTGAATGAAGAGGGTTTTGATATCATACGTTTATTAGATTTATCAATGTTTAATGGTCTTATAGGAATTTTTCGAAGTTTCAACTTCTTCACATTGTTATATCTGTATACTTGTCTGTTCTTTAACTTATGATTAAAGGAATTTTCTTTCAACGGTAACTTGGATTTCAATTCAAACTCTGAAAAAAGATATGTACAAAATAGTATATTTGACCATGAAATACAAAGTAACTCATTCTCAATATACTTGTTGTTGTCTACCAGTAGAAGCCAACAAATAACTGCACTTGATTTACATACATTCAACAGTAGTATACCGCTGTTCAAAAGTCATAATTCGATTAAACAAAAATAAATCCGGGTAACAAACTAAAACCGAGGGAAACACATCAACTATAAGAGGAAAACAAAGGAACAACAGAAACACTGAACTACAAATCAAGCAATCGCCAACATACATAGAAACGGACTGTAGATAACCAACTGCCATATTCCTGACTTGGTACAGGATATTTTAAGAAAAATGGTTTTATGGCTAGCCAAACCTCCGAGCATTTGAAAACTAGTAATTGATCACCTTCGACATTTAGAGTTTTCTTTCCTTTTTCCGGACATGGAATATTTTATTTTCGTTTATAAATAAGTGCAAGTATGATAAATACAATTTAAAAATGTCGATTCAGCTGTTTTTTCGTCGCTATCATTCAAGAATTCTAAAATTTCTTAATACAATGAACAATATTGATACCCGCATGATAACAGAAATTTCGAAAAAAAGTTATAAGACGCTTTTGATAAATGTTCTTCGCACTCTTTATTGAAATGAACAAAACTGAACTTTATTTTATCACCCAGTAAGTATGACTGTCTATTTAATTTTATTTCTCATTCATATTTTTGAATTTTGTTTTGTGTGTATCATTATATGTTTCCATGAATATACAGGAAGTATTTGAAACTGGATTGTTAGCAAAGATATATCAATCAATTATTCTTGTGAATAAGAGGAACAGGTAAGGCGAAAGATACCAAAGGGACATTCAAACTCATAAGTCGAAAATAAACTGACAACGCCATGGCTAAAAAGAAAAGACCAACAGACAAACAACAGTACACAAAACAAAACATAGAAAACTAAAGACTAAGCAACATATACCCCACCAAAACAAAAAATGGGGGTGGTCTCAGGTGCTCCGGAAGGCTAAGCAGATCCACATGTGGCACCCGTCGTGTTTCACATGTTAGTACAAACCCGGGGATAAGTCTGATTCGGTATGTCACATTCATGAAAAAGGGGACGGGATTGTAATAACGACAATCGGAACATATCCGTTGTCATCTGTGAAACGGATATTCCATAACGGTCAACCAAATCGTGATGGCGTCCGTAAAATTTACGAAGGGATGGTTTCAACTTTACCACTTGGAACTCTTAATCTTATAGTTTTCTTGTGAGCAGCAACCCTCTATCAAGTAAATCATGATAGTAAATACAAGCCCTGGACTATCGTATCAACTGGGGGATATATACTCCGTATGCAGGCGCTGCTGGAATTTTGCTACATAGAAATGGAAAGTTCACAATTGGGAAGCTGAAATCATCTCTTGTGTCGTAAAGTTTTGTTTTCAACCAACTCTCATTGTCAATTTCTAGATGTGAGTCAAGATATGAGGCAGAATCAACTGTATATGTTGTATCCTTTATCTCAAGTTTGATGGGATAGATGCGTTCAAGATTGTCACCAAATTTTAAATTATTTAGTGAGAGAACATCATCTAAATAGCGGAAAGTGAAGTTCAAGGATACTGCTAAGTTCTTTTATTTCTTCCTAAGAAGTTCCTGTATGAAGTCGGCCTCATATGAATAAAGGAACAAGTCGACAAGAAGAGGAGCGCAGTTGGTTCCCATGGGAATGCCGATTGTTTGTTGAAAAAACACGTCCTCCAAACGTAACAAATATTATGTCAATCAAGAAATCAAGCATCTTGATAATGTCAGTTTCAGAGAATTATTTGTTTGAATCAGAGTGATTTTTTACAAAGTACGATTTATCCCTCCCTAAGACAAGATACTTGTATCTACGTTGGCCATTTTTTATGATCCAAAGCAGGACCAACTCTTTCAATTTGTCTCTTAGTTTGGAATGTGGAATACTTGTGTAAAGCGTAGAAAAGTAAAATGTTTGAATACTATTGTAAGATGAAAGAGTGTTTCTTCGATTGTATGTACTCTTAAAGATCTTTGGATTTTTTTTATTTTTAGTATCCACATTTGATTCACGCCTCCTCTTGAATAGGTAGTTTCACAATAACTTTGAAGCCCGGCTTTGATTGCTGATAAAATTGATGTTGATAATTAGAAAGAGGTTTCGTGGAACACTTGGAAGACCAAGCAATATAACGTTGTTTGTAAGGACACTTTTGTAGTTCAAATATAGTGATGGAAGATCCAGTTCCTCATCTTTGGTTGAAATTCCAAAGGAACATAGAACAGACATATGATTATCCAGGATTTCCTCCTTGGTAAGTGTCGTGGACATGTATACATTTAGGGAATGAAAATTTAAGAAATGAAGGGTATACAGACACAAACAGAACGTCAAAAACAACCAAAAAGACTTCTGGACACATCAATTATCGTCCGTATTATTCATTGATTCTGATTTATCTCGTTTCGTTTATGTATCTAATGGATCTCGATTTGTATTGTCTTTTTTCGGTTTTCCAAATCTTTTTGATTCTATATTCCTTATCTGCGATTGTCTTTTTTTGATTCGATATTCCCTACCCGCAGTTGTCTTTTTTATTCGATATTCCCTTCCCGCGGTTGTCCTTTTTATTCGGTATACCCTAGCCTCAGTTTTCCTTTTCATTCATTATTTTACTTCATGCAGTAGTAATAATAAAGAAATAAGGTAAAGTGCACTACAGTATTTAATGGATAATAGATCTAATGAAAACAAGACAAATCACCAACAGTAAATAAAATAGTTAATTACTCTATAAAGGTTGAAGTTGTTAAGTGTGATAAACTACAACATATGTAGGAAGGATAATTTTTACGAGGAAATAACCACAATTTCCCACACTTACTATTTGGATATGGTATTGAACTGGTTGCCCGTGTCTGGTGTCCTGAAATGTAAAGTGTAGGAGTTAGTGATGTATCTTTCAAGTTCCAGTTAGTGAACGTATCGTCTGTCCGTAACGTTATTGTACAAATTTACCAATTTTGTCTCTTAAGTAACTGCCATTTTATCATATGCTTTCAAATGTTAGAAAAAAAAACCAACAATTATTGTCTCAACGTAGGACCTACTATAGGTTGGGTAACCACCTGTTACATTCCGTTCATGTCTTTAGCAATGAGTAAAGGATATTATGATAAAACGAAAGCAAAATTAATCACGAATAGGCGATTTTTTTTCTAAGTGGTTCGATTTGTTAAATATATGTCATTAACCGTGCGGTCATGAATTAATAATTCAATCATCTGATTGGCTATTTTGGAACATTAAATCTCGAAGAATCGGTTAATAAAGTTGTGAGAATTTTGGACGATATTCTTGTCAGATTGCACTAGTGTAATCAGTATGTTAAAACAAGACAACATACAATTATAATGATATTATTTTTATTCTATAAAGTAAGAACATGATGTTTTAGATTTTCACAAGGAAAAAGCTTTGTCCTGATTGACTAATTTTCTTTTTCGATATTCAATTGGTCTTTTTTACTTATTTCTTATTATACTTCATAACATATTTAAGTATTCGATTCGATGCAATTGTGGTGGATTAACATCATTCTCATCTTTTTTAGTGCATGTTTTTTTTCCTTCTTTTTTTATTTACACGCCCGTTGTATGTTTTCCGCTAGTACCTACACGAGTTGTTATGTTTTAATTAACACAAAACATACAGTTAATGTTGTGCTATTACATTATTTTTTTTGTAAAGAAGAAGACGTTATACATGTTTATCTTGTGTTTTGTCATTAAAATCCCGTTTGAGATTAGCACTGACAAAAATGATTTAAATATTTCTACTTATGTAATTAGTAAATGTAAAAGTATAAGAATATACAATGTATTTGAAAAAAGAACTCTCATCTTTTCAAATAAAAAACAATAAATTATTAATTTGTATACCAAAAAGAGTTTATAAGGAAAATATCGCTTTGTAAATTCCCATGCGTCCGATTTCACAATTTACCTTCATTAGAACGCTAAAACCTTAATATTTGAAAGCCAGGGATGTATAAATACATTGAAAGGTTAAAAGTTTTATCACCATACAAATAAGACGTTGCGCAATTTAAAAGTAAATCCT